ATTCGATTTGCCCCTGTTTCAGCTTTGTGTGTGTAGAGAGAGAGGGGGGTATAGATGAAGCATTGAAAGATCTGAAACCCCACTCAATTATATAGGGATGGAGTGAATTATATACATATGTATGTAAAATTATATATAGGTAAATTTTTATTTTTTCATTTTGTAGTGGTATGTGAATGGTAAGGTGAATTATGTTTATATGTATATATATATTTTTTAATTTAAAAAAAAATTGGGTAATATGTAAATATTTATTTATTTTTTTGAATTTTTTTTAAAAATATAAAAGATAAAAAATAAATAATAAAAAAAATATTCAAAAGCCTATATCCAAATATCACCTACAAATTAGAGGGAAAGTTGGTTAAAATTTGTTAAAATAGCTTTGTACCATTAGTAAAATAATACTATTCATTACCAAATTATAACTGTTGGAAATGGTTATAAAATTCTGGATAAAATCAGAATTTTTTCCTAAGTTCGGTCTATTTTTTAAAAAAAAAAAAAAAAACTTGAGAAATATCCTCCAAATAAGGTGCCTGTTTGTTCATTAGCAAATTTGCTACCTTTGTTGCTAACTGCAGCGGGCACAATAGCACAAGAAAAAGAAGGAAAAAGGAAAGAGAGGGAGGAGAGAGAAACTGAACATTGGTGTCAGCTTTTTTGTCAGTTTGGTACTTTTTTTCGTTTTTCTTTTTGGGTAGGGCTTCTGTCCAGTTCGATCTGTACTGTTGGGTCCGTGAGAGCCTACCATGGACCTCGTTTTGATAATCTGAACCGTCAATATGTAGAACTCGTCGAGTAATATATGTCTGTAAAAAATCACGTTGATCGGATATCGATAGCTATATGACCAAATCAGTTTCGTATTAAAAAAATTAGACGGTGAACAAATTAACGGTTGACAAAAAACTGTTTTGATCACATAGCTATCGTTATCCGATCAACGTGATTTTTTATAAATATATAGTACTCGACGATTTCTACACATTGAACGGTTCAGATTGGGTTATTTTGGGAAGATGGTAAAAAGTGACTTTTTGGCTTTTAACCAAGCTTTTGGCTTTTTTAGACAAATGATTTGGGAAGTTGGTAAAAAGTGACTTTTGACTTTTTTGATTAATATTTGTTTATGATGTCAAATCATAATAAAATGACCAAACTACCCCCATTTATGTAAAATATTTACGACTTCACCTATGTAACACATTTTGACCCATGAGGGTAAAATTGTAATTTCACCGTTGGCTAAAAACCAACTTCCCAAATGAAAAAAAGACAAAAAAGCCAACTTTTGGCTTTTGCTACAAACCAAAAAAAGTGACTTTTAGCCAACTTCCCAAAATAGCCCATTATCAAAACGAGACCCGTGGTGGGCCCCATGGGTCCAACAGCACGGTCTAGTCCAATCCCAGACTGGACAGAAGCCATACCCTTTGTTTTTATTATAAATATAAAATATAAGGGTAATTACAAAAAAATAAAAAATTCAAATTTTTTTCATTTTAAATTTTAATATTTTAATTTTGACAAATTAAACTCTAAAGTTTCATTCCTGTTTGAATGTGTTTTTTTCGTTTCTCCGTCTATTTAAGATAATGGAGAAACATTTTGGGATTTTAAAGTGAAAAATACTGGGGTTTAAAGTGAAATATGTGTGAAATCCTAGATTTTTTTTTGTAATTAACCCTAATATTTTTTTTTTGTGTGTATATATATATAACTTACTTATCTTATTGTATATGTACATGTGTGTTTGTATATATGGTGAAATTTTTTTATTTAAATTTTGATTCTTTTGATGATAAAATTTTGATTTCTTCCCTAAATTTGATGACTACGTAACAAGGGTTACTTGAAATGTAATTAGTCTTTTTTTTTTTTCTTTTTTTTTTAAAGTTGTGTTAGAATGTTTGATGCTTGTCAGGTAAAAATAACTTAAATAAGTTATAAAAAATAAAAAATAAAAAGTGCTTTTTGGTATTATTTGGTGCAACTTATCTGATTTGTCTAAAAATTTTTATTTTGGGAATTTGTGACAAATTATTTGATATAACTTTTACTTTATTAGCTAAAAATAATTTAAATAAGTTGAAGAAAAACATATTTCTGGAATTTGCAAAGGATACTTTTGTCTTTTGATTTTAGATTATCAACTTTTAACTACAGCAAACACATCATTTGAAAGCGAAAAATTAGTGCTTTTTAACTTATGTTTTATGATTATCAATTTTTAACTTATAATAAATTATACCAAATAACTCATTTTAAAATAATTTGGGAAGTTAGTGGGTTGGATTTTTTTTTATTTTTACACTAAAAGACAAACTTTTTGTAAAACAAAAAAAAAAACAAATCTAAACAAAATATCACATCCAATCCCATAATCATTTCACTTTTTTTCTCACAAATATCACATCTAACCACAAAAAAATCCAATTATCTTTCCAAATACCAAATTTTTTTTATCCAATAATATTCTACAATTAAAAAAAACTTATATAAAAACCCACTTCCTAAACACCTAGATTAATGCGGCAGACCCCCAATTTCCCCGGACCCCCAGTGACCCCAGCCCACGTGGCTGTGGGTGATTGGAAAGAAAGAAAAAATAAAAAAAAAAAAAAAATTCTAGACCAATGAAAAAAAACTGGGGTGCCCCCCACTGGGGTCCCTAGCACCGCTGTAAACACCTACCTAGTGACGTTGATACGTAAACCATTGGAAGATTCCTTTCATTGCTTCGCACTTAAATTCATGAACCCATGTTATTAGTAAATTCGTATCATTTTTAAATAATTTTTTATATAATAAATATGAGTTATTTTAAACTTATTTTTAAATTTAGATTATTTTTTAAAAACTTTGTTCTCAAAACACAAATCGAAACTCAAACTCGTGTTTCAAAAAACAACTTTAAAAATTTTGGCAGACCTAGAGTCTGGTTTTGAGATGGGATTTTATAATTGTTCTTTTAATAATTTTTTTTGGTTGACTTTTTTGTGTTTTTAATGATTTTAAATTTAAAAAAAAAGAACTAATTATCAAAAAAATCTAAAGTTTTACATATTTTTCACTTTAAATCTAAGTGTTTTTCACTTTAAACTCCAAAACAATTCTCTATTACCTTACATAGATAGAGTTTAAAGTGAAAAATATATAAAATCTTGAGATTTTTTTTTTTTTTGTAATTAATCCTAAAATATAAATATATATTAATTTATTTTGGGTGGATTCTACTTTTACATAACACACCTTTTAAGGCACACCTAACTATACCATTCAAATACACAATTACTCTCTAAACTAGCAAATACTAAACAGACACAAGTAGGTCTTATTTTTTTCATTTTGTACTATAAAACACACTTTTAATACACAAATTTAGCAACTCCACTAGAGATGTCTTAAGAAGCACAATCTAACTAAATTAGATTAAGCCCGAAGCAAATCAAGAGAGAATCCCAAATCAAACCAAACCAAACCAAACAAACACTACCAAAACAAAATGAATACACCCAAAACCACAGGCACGCACCTAACCCAAGACTTCTGTAACTATCCAAAGCAATAGAACACCAACATACTAACCAGATGAAAACCAGAAAATCTCTCTTCAGCAAACCATCGAAAAATAAGCCAATAAAAACAGAGCGATTGAGCAGCAAAGTCTACTAAAATGGACCAGTCCTTCCAAAATAAACTCTTAGGATTGAGGCTTCCAAGCCTAACTCTACTGCTTCCTGATTAAAAAGCCATGACACTAAACAAAACAAATACCTCTATCCTCAAAACATCCCAACATCCAAGGGGCAGGGAAACAATTGATAAAGACCACTCACCAATTGACCAATTGGAAGAACTAAGTTTCACCATTTGTGATTCACCAGTCCAACACAGTGAACCAGAGAGATCAACCGAATCCACAAAATTCCCATAAAAAAATCACCTTTTCCTAGAAACGATCACTTAAGAACACAACAACTAATTTCCTGAATAACAAAATCTTCATGAATAATTTCCTAAGACCTCTCATGATCCATGATAGCAGCATCATCTTTTTTGCTTGATGGATTTGCTAAAATTGGCTTTATTTCTCAACTCCAATTCAACGAAATCATTCAAGAAGAAACCCTCTCTACCTTGAAAATCAATATCCAGCGCCTGGGCCGTTTGGGGAGAGCTTTATTCGCATGATCCAACAGACCGACCCTCCAATGATGGATTAGGGGGGGGCGGCCGCACCCCAAAAATTTGAAAAATATCATATATTATATTAAAAATTTTAAAATAATTTAAAATTATAGAAGTTCGCATTCTCAAATTTTTTTTGTAGATAATTTCAAAATTATATAGAGTAACTCCAATTTTTTAAACTATAGAATAGTGCCCCCAAAAACATGATCCAAGATCCGTCCCTGCCTCCCTAGCTCCATTAATGATTTTTTTCTTGCGAGAGGTCTTACTTTTATTGTTAGTATTAATTAACTTATTGAATTGAACATGAAACTGGGATTATGTAAACAATACTAGTCCAAGTCCAAAGACTTGGAGATCGATTGATTGCCTTTTAGTTAGATGGATAGTAAGTTGTTCAAGTTTAATTTAAAATTTTCACAGATTTAAAAAAAAAAAAAAAAATTATGAGTCAAACTTATAAGTTGAGGGCGGGCGACACATCTGTTTGGTAACTATTAATGTATGTGATTATATCTAACAACTACAACACATGGTAGTCACTCTCGATTTGTAAAGTCAGTTCTTACATGATAACTCTATAGAAAAATGTGTTTAGATTAGATTTTTTTTTTTATACAATTTTATCATGAATGTAAATTTCTTGAGTGAGTTCAAACTGAGTTAAAAAAATATTATCAAGTTGCAAAATATATTTAAATTTGATTTGTTTTCGTAACGAATCAATTTTCAATAAATGTTTTTAATAAACCCAACACGAGTCAATCTTAAATATATAGCCTCATTGATTTTACAGAAATAGGTGACAAACACTTAGTAATCATTACACCAAATTAGCACATATACAACATGACCAACTATTTATTTAGAGAGTTCTTGTACTAAACAAAACAAGCTACACAAGACAAAAATAAGTCAACAAAAACATAACAACATATTCAGAGTTTTTACCCACACTTTTATCAAGAAACATCAAGTAAAATTCTGGATAATATTTCTAGATATATAGTTTTACCGTAACTCTGCCGCGGTCTCCAAATCCTCTTCAACCACAGATACCAAGTCCAAATTATCCGAATTCCTCACTGAGCAATTCGCGCGAATCTCTCCTTTCCCACCCGTCAACACACTCAACTGGCCCATCTTTATCATCGCGGACACGAATTTTTCAAAAAACAGATTCTGATCATTAGCAAAGCTCTCAACAATGTCGTGAGTCCTATCATCGGTGTACAAGTCTTGGTCGGAGGTGAAGAGGCCTTGCCGGTGCACGAGATCGACATAGTACTTGTTGTCAAATTGGTTAGGGGTCCTGATATCTAGCACAGTTGTGTTGGTTGAGTTTGTCGTTGGGCATATGACTTTGAGGTCACTTGCAAAGTCTGTTTCCATGGTTGGGTCTTGAGTTGGGTAGAGCCTGTTGTTGTTGGGGATTTAGATATTAGAAACACTTGAAACATAAATTTCACTTTCAACTAGAGAAAAAGTCATGAAATAAAGAAATCAAATGATGGTAAATAATATAATGTGGGTGAATTAGACTCGTAGTGATTGTTGTTTGTATCTTGTTGTTGATTTGATTTTTGTAGAATATATTATATCGAGTTTATCTTTAAATTTTTTATGTCACGTGAAATTAGTCCAATTGATAATCTCACTATAGAAATTGTATTATAAATAAAGAAGTAAAATAATACATTCACTCAAGATTAAGAGGGTTTTTTTTTTTGGGATCAGATTGACCCTCAAGATTGAGAGGTTGACCTCAATTTGAATGGCTCATTTCCTTTTAGATGGATTATTTTGCCTTTTACTTTCGTCCAATTTCTTATTTGATGTTATCAATTAGATTAAATTAAAAAAATACGAAAATTTTAAAGGCAAAATTGATACAATTGGAAAAACAAGGCTAAAGCAATTTTTCCATAATAATGGTGTGGAAAGAAATAATTTGTGAGATTGATGAGGTTGTTGTTTACAGCCAGGATTATGCTAGAAATTTCAAATGATTTATCAAATTTTTTACCTATGTGAGAGATTTGGTAAAAAATTGATAAATTATTTGAGGTCTATAGCATTTTTTCTTAAAATAATAAAAAATATTTGGTAGCTCGAATTTGTGTAGCCCAAATGACTCGAATGTATTAAAATGACATCGTTTTATCCCTAAAATAACATCATTTTGAAACATTCAAACCATTTAAACAATGAAAATTCGAGCTACTAAGTATTATTAAAAGCAATATTAATTTCCTTTCTAGCTGACAAATCAAGATACAACTCAGAATCTCAAAAGAGTACTACACAATACACAATGCATGGCAGGCAATGATGATAATTATGTTGCCCAAAAATTAGGGTTGCGCATTCATTGGATCGACCGGGTACGAGCCGGACCAACATTGTATAATAAAAAAAATCAATAATGATTCATCCCCCTTTTTCCCCCACCCCCTTTGACCCCCTCTCACTCTCATTGGCTACTTTTTCTTTTTCTTTTTCTTTTTTTTCCTGCTCCTCCAATCACCACCCGCCACGTGACAAAGGTGGGTGAGGGGGTGACCCCCAAAAGGGGGTCCCAAGCATTATTCAAAAAAAATTGTGTCTACTTAAGCTAAACTCGGTCTGGACTTAACATTAGACCTCTACAATTGCTCAAGTCCGATTTAAAAAATAATTATAAATTTCAAATCTATCAATCTGGCTATATGTTTTTTAAAAAAAAAAATCATAATTAAATTCAATCACATATTATATTTATTAAATAAATATATTAATATCATTATAAATTAAAATATTTTGTGTATAAATTTAAAAAATCCTTAAATAAATTCAATTACACATTATCATAATATGAATTTCAATAAAATCAATAATTTTTTTTTTAAGTTGTGTTAGAATGTTTGATGCTTGTGAGGTAAAAATAACTTAAATAAGTTATAAAAAATAAAAAATAAAAATTCTTTTTGGTATTATTTGGTGCAACTTATCTGATTTGTCTAAAAAATTTTATTTTGGAAATTTGTGACAAATTATTTGATATAACTTTTACTTTATTAGCTAAAAATAGTTTAAATAAGTTGAAGAAAAACATATTTCTGGAATTTGGGCAAAGGATACTTTTGTCTTTTGATTTTAGATTATCAACTTTTAACTACAGCAAACACATCATTTGAAAGCGAAAAATTAGTGCTTTTTAACTTATGTTTTATGATTATCAATTTTTAACTTATAATAAATTATACCAAATAACTCATTTTAAAATAATTTGGGAAGTTTGTGGGTTGGATTTTTTTTTATTTTTACACTAAAAGACAAACTTTTTGTAAAACAAAAAAAAAACAAATCCAAACAAAATATCACATCCAATCGCATAATTATTTCACTTTTTTTCTCACAAACATCACATCTAACCACAAAAAAATTCAATTATCTTTCCAAATATCAAATTTTTTTTATTCAATAATATTCTACAATTAAAAAAAACTTATATAAAAACCCACTTTCTAAACACTTACCTAGTGACGTTGATACGTAAACCATTGGAAGATTCCTTTCATTGCTTCGCACTTAAATTCATGAACCCATGTTATTAGTAAATTCATATCATTTTTAAATAATTTTTTATATAAGAAATATGAGTTATTTTAAACTTATTTTTTAAATTTAGATTATTTTTTAAAAACTTTGTTCTCAAAACACGAATCGAAACTCAAACTCGTGTTTCAAAAAACAACTTTAAAAATTTTGGGATGGGATTTTATAATTGTTCTTTTAATAATTTTTTTTGGTTGACTTTTTTGTGTTTTTAATGATTTTAAATTTTTAAAAAAAGAATTAATTATCAAAAAAATCTAAAGTTTTACATATTTTTCACTTTAAATCTAAGTGTTTTTCACTTTAAACTCCAAAACAATTCTCTATTACCTTACATAGATAGAGTTTAAAGTGAAAAATGTATAAAACCTTGAGATTTTTTTTTTTTTTTTGTAATTAATCCTAAAATATAAATATATATTAATCTATTTTGGGTGGGTTCTACTTTTACATAACACACCTTTTAAGGCACACCTAACTATACCATTCGAACACACAATTACTCTCTAAACTAGCAAATACTAAACACACACAAGCAGGTCTTATTTTTTTCATTTTGTACTATAAAACACACTTTTAATACACAAATTTAGCAACCCCACTAGAGATGTCTTAAGAAGCACAATCTAACTAAATTAGATTAAGCCCGAAGCAAATCAAGAGAGAATCCCAAACCAAACCAAACAAACACTACCAAAACAAAATGAATACACCCAAAACCACAGGCACGCACCTAACCCAAGACTTCTGTAACTATCCAAAGCAATAGAACACCAACATACTAACCAGATGAAAACCAGTAAATCTCTCTTGAGCAGACCACCGAAAAATAAGCCAATAAAAACAGAGCAACTGAGCAGCAAAGTTTACTAAAATGGACCAGTCCTTCCAAAATAAACTCTTAGGATTGAGGCTTCCAAGCCTAACTCTACTGCTTCCCGATTAAAAAGCCATGACACTAAACAAAACAAATACCTCTATCCTCAAAACATCCCAACATCCAAGGGGCAGGGAAACAATTGATAAAGACCACTCACCAATTGACCAATTGGAAGAACTAAGTTTCACCATTTGTGATTCACCATTCCAACACAGTGAACCAGAAAGATCAACCGAATCCACAAAATTTCCATAAAAAAATCACCTTTTCCTAGAAACGATCACTTAAGAACACAACAATTAATTTCCTGAATAACAAAATCTTCCTGAATAATTTCCTAAGACCTCTCATGATCCATCATAGCAGCATCATCTTTTTTGCTTAATGGATTTGTTAAAATTGGCTTTATTTCTCAACTCCAATTCAACGAAATCATTCAAGAAGATATCCTCTCTACCTTGAAAATCAATATCCAGCGCCTGGGCCGTTTGGGGAGAGCTTTATTCGCATGATCCAACAGACCGACCCTCCAATGATGGATTGGGGGAGGCGGCCGCACCCCCAAAAATTTGAAAAATATCATATATTATATGAGAAATTTTAAAATAATTTAAAATTATAGAAGTTCGCCCTCTCAAATTTTTTTGTATATAATTTCAAAATTATATAGAGTAACTCCAATTTTTTAAACTATAGAATAGAGCCCCAAAGACATGATCCAAGATCCGTCCCTGCCTCCCTAGCTCCATTAATGGTTTTTTTCTTGCGAGAGGTCTTACTTTTGTTGTTAATATTAATTAACTTATTGAATTGAACATGAAACTGGAATTACGTGAACAATACTAGTCCAAGTCCAAGGACTTGGAGATCGATTGATTGCCTTTTAGTTAAATGGATAGTAAGTTGTTCAAGTTTAATTTAAAATTTTCATAGATTTAAAAAAAAAAAAATTATGAGTCAAACTTATAAGTTGAGGGCAGGCGACACATCTGTTTGGTAACTATTAATGTATGTGATTATATCTAACAACTACAACACATGGTAATCACTCTCGATTTGTAAAGTCATTCTTACATGATAACTCTATAGAAAAATGTATTTAGATTAGATTTTTTTTTTTTTTTATACAATTTTATCATGAATGTAAATTTCTTGAGTGAGTTCAAACTGAGTTAAAAAAATATTATCAAGTTGCAAAATATATTTAAATTTGATTTGTTCACGTAACGAATCAATTTTCAATAAATGTTTTTAATAAACCCAACACGAGTCAATCTGAAATATATAGCCTCATTGGTTTTACAGAAATAGGTGACAAACACTTAGTAATCATTACACCAAATTAGCACATATACAACATGACCAACTATTTATTTAGAGAGTTCTTGTACTAAACAAAACAAGCTACACAACACAAAAATAAGTCAACAAAAACATAACAACATATTCAGAGTTTTTACCCACACTTTTATCAAGAAACATCAAGTAAAATTCTGGATAATATTTCTAGATATATAGTTTTACCGTAACTCTGCCGCGGTCTCCAAATCCTCTTCAACCACAGATACCAAGTCCAAATTATCCGAATTCCTCACTGAGCAATTCGCGCGAATCTCTCCTTTCCCACCCGTCAACACGCTCAACTGGCCCATCTTTATCATCGCGGACACGAATTTTTCAAAAAACAGATTCTGATCATTAGCAAAGCTCTCAACAATGTCGTGAGTCCTATCATCGGTGTACAAGTCTTGGTCGGAGGTGAAGAGGCCTTGCCGGTGCACGAGATCGACATAGTACTTGTTGTCAAATTTGTTAGGGGTCCTGATATCTAGCACAGTTGTGTTGGTTGAGTTTGTTGTTGGGCATATGACTTTGAGGTCACTTGCAAAGTCTGTTTCCATGGTTGGGTCTTGAGTTGGGTAGAGCCTGTTGTTGTTGGGGATTTAGATATTAGAAACACTTGAAACATAAATTTCACTTTCAACTAGAGAAAAAGTCATGAAATAAAGAAATCAAATGATAGTAAATAATATAATGTGGGTGAATTAGACTCGTAGTGATTGTTGTTTGTATCTTGTTGTTGATTTGATTTTTGTAGACTATATTATATCGAGTTTATCTTTAAATTTTTTATGTCACGTGAAATTAGTCCAATTGATAATCCCACTATAGAAATTGTATTATAAATAAAGAAGTAAAATAATACATTCACTCAAGATTAAGAGAGTTTTTTTTTGGGGGGTCAGATTGACCCTCAAGATTGAGAGGTTGACCTCAATTTGAATGGCTCATTTACTTTTAGATGGATTATTTTGCCTTTTACTTTCGTCCAATTTCTTATTTGATATTATCAATTAGATTAAATTAACAAAATACGAAAATTTTAAAGGCAAAACTGATACAATTGGAAAAACAAGGCTAAAGCAATTTTTCCATAATAATGGTGTGGAAAGAAATAATTTGTGAGATTGATGAGATTGTTGTTTAAAGCCAGAATTATGCTAGAAATTTCAAATGATTTATCAAATTTTTTTACCTATGTGAGAGATTTGATAAAAAATTTGATAAATTATTTGAGGTCTATAGCATTTTTCCTTAAAATAATAAAAAAATGTTTGATAGTTCGAATTTGTATAGTTCAAATGACTCGAATGTATTAAAATAACGTCGTTTTATTCCTAAAATAACATTATTTTAAGACATTCAAACCATTTAGACAACGAAAATTCGAGCTACTAAGTATTATTAAAAACAAATATTTTCCTTTCTAGCTGACAAATCAAGATACAACTCAGAATCTCAAAAGAGTACTACACAATACACAATGCATGGCAGGCAATGATGATAATTATGTTGCCCAAAAATTAGGGTTGCGCATTCATTGGATCGACCGGGTACGAGCCGGACCAACATTGTATAATAAAAAAAATTATGTCTACTTAAGCTAAACTCGGTTTAACATTAGACCTCTACATTTGCTTATGTCCGATTCAAAAAATAATTATAAATCTCAAGTCTATCAATCTGGCTATATGTTTAAAAATATATATATAATTAAATTCAATCACATATTATATTTATTAAATAAATATATTAACATCATTATAAATTGAAAAAATTTGTATATAAATTGAAATATTTCTTAAATAAATTCAATCACACATCACCACAAATGTGAATTTTAATAAAATCAACAAAGATAAAGGGTAGATCTCAACAAAAAAAAAATATTTTAATATACATAATTAATTAATTTAATAGCGACCGGGCCGGATTGAAAGTATAAATCTCAAGCCCAGCCCATTAATATATCAGGTCGACATTGTGGGTGTTTGGAAAGTGAGTTTTCATGTAGGTTTTTTTAGTTGTAGGATATTATTGGATAAAAAAATTTTGGTGTTTGGAAAGATAGTTAGATTTTTTTGTAGTTGAATGTGATGTTTGCGAGAGAAAAAGTGAAATGATTATGGAGTTGGATGTGATATTTTGTTTGGATTTTTTTTTTTTGTTTTGCAAAAACTTTGTCTTTTAATGAAAAAAATAAAAAAAAAAAAACCCAAAACCAAATCTTGCCAAACACTGCCATTGGCCCAGTCCAACCTTATGGGCTAAAACAACCTTCTCAAGTCTTAAAAAAATAGGATCAGATAGGGCAAGTTAAGCGAGTCAAGAGTCTCTCCTTGCAGTCCCGTCCTTGCGCCCGTCCTTGCAGGCTTTCGGGCCTACTTTTAGGCCCAATTTTGATAATCCGAACCGTTCATATTTTATAATTTATTCAGTATATCATACCTGTAAAAAATCAAGTTGATCGGATATCAGAAAGTATGTGTTCGGAAAAGTGTTTATTAAATTATTTAAAAAATAGTTTTTAGTTCAATTTTTCGAACACATACTTTCTGATATCCGATCAACTTGATTTTTTACAGGTATGATATACTGAATAAATCATAAAATATGAACGGTTCGGATTATCAAAATTGGGTCTAAAAGTAGACCCGAAGGCCTGCAAGGACGGAAGCTGCAAGGAGAGGATCCTGATTCAAGTTAAGCAGGCCAATGGGCCAATGGCCCCAAAAATATGTAAAAAATAGTAACTTATAAATAAATAATTATGGAATAAAAAATAAATATGTAATTATGCACCAACATATGTAAATTTGAAGGCAATGATAAGGATATGGAGTTTTCCATATTTTAGGACGTGCAGGGTGTTCCAATACATATTGGCCTATGGGTACACATTTGCAATGGACATGCCTCTGGGTTAGGTCTTTTCTTTTGGGACTTGGAGTAGGTGTTGTGGCTTTAACTCAAAAGACATGCCCTTTTTGTTTGCTATTTGAACTAATTACATTGTTACTCTCTATATGATTGTTGTATCATTTTGGTCTTATAATTGGATCAATTTTGACCTTAAATTTTCAAGTTTATCTCAAATTGATCCAATTGGTTCCTAATTATTAGGCTTTTTTATGACAAATACACACATAAATAAAGTGTCACACTTTTATGAGTAAAAGTGTAAATTTGATCAATTAAGTGATTTAATCTCAACTAATTTAGTGAAAATTTTCTATTGAAAATTCTAATTGCGTTATCAATTGACGTATAATCTAAAATTAAGAATCAAAATTGAACCAATTAAAACTATATGACGAGCTCTTAAAATGACAGAAATAGAAGAATATAGAGATTATTGATATAATTTGTCCTTCAAATTTTGAAACTTGGTTTCAAATACCTATTTTCGAAGGAAGTGCAGTGGCCGAGGCCAATGGTATGGCCACCGGAGAGGGCCACGACGTCAGTGGCATCAAACTTCTTCCTAGCGAGGGAGGTAAGGATGACGCTGGCATTATTTGTTGGTGCCGGGAGGTTGTCCAATGTCGCATTCCTCGTTGCGAAAGTGAGGCCATCTCGCCTTCCCAATGGGACATCATACTCGGGCCCTCCTGACTGCACTTGCAACAAATACATATCAACAATTTGTTATTTAAATCATCCCAATATAAAATCTTGTTCAATTTTTTTGGCATGGATTAGATTGAATTGGATTGAATTCTCAACCAATATAATGTCGTTTGAGTACATAAAAAGTTGCATAAATGTCAAAATTCTAAATTAAAGAAAACTACTAAAGTACTAAGAAGGAAAAATCACGTTTTGAGTTTCCAAAAATTGAAGGATTTAATTTTTTATTTTGTTTGTAATTTTTAGTAAGTTTTTTCATATTTTAGTCTGTTTTTTAGTTTTACTTTTCAAATGTACTTAATCTACATATACTTAAAAAGTAAAATATTGGTGAAAAAATATATAAATAATTCAATAAATCCAAAAAAATATTAAAATATTTTTTTACAATTTTTTTTATTTTTGAAGTGTATCAAATTAAGTGGATCTGAAAGTTAAAAAAATTAATTAAAATATTTCAAAAAATACTAAAACCTAAAAAATACAAATTGAAAATTTCAAATATGTTTTTGTGAACTTTAAAACTAAACAGAGGGAATGATTTTTTTTAATGATTTTTATATTGAGGTTGTTAAATTCAATGTATAAAGAGAGAAATACAGAGAGAATAATGTATCTATTGATGTATTGAATGTTGTGTTGAGCTCTCTCCTTTATAGTAGAGAGAGAGAACAATTACAAACCGAAAGTAGAAGCACAAACCAAACAACATTATTAAAGGTACATTATTAAAGGTTTGACAGCTAATATATATACTAATATATACTAACAGTCCCCCTCAAACTCAAGGAGGATAGGCAATAACCAACTTGAGTTTGGAGAGAGTAACAAAACAAGAAAATAAACTGACAAATAAAAGTGGATAGGAGACACTGTATGGTCGTGTCGGACCGTTGTAGCAGGACAGTTTACGAGGTCATGCCGGACTG